TGACGTTCATATTAATCACATAACCTCATTAAAGTTAACTTGCGTGCGTTCACAGTGAGTGATATTTCAGCGAAAATGTTTTCAATAGTTCAGAGATTCACAAAGCTGTTTTTCACGTAAAAACTTGAGCACAATTGGAAATTACTGTAACTGCTAGCTAGCTAACATCGTTACTAAATAAAACAATCGCATAGTTTAGCATAATGCTAGTTTCTGCTCTTTCAAACACTCGACTGACGTAATAGAGAGAGTTTAGAGCAATAACTTTGTAGTAAGTTTATCTCATTAATTGTCGTGTTTTGTCGCTATGCTAAGCTAACATACTACCTAACCCTAAAGCACCTGTTGCCACCAGCGATTGTGTTTTATAGGACTAATTTTGAAAAGTGTGAATAGAAAGTGTTAGTAAAAGTGTTTTTACGCTTCTTTATGATGGTATTCAACTTATAGTTAATTCCAGTCCAGTCTTGTCAGTTATATCTTTTCTTTTGCTCAAACAATCTGTAATTTGTTGGTTTAAAAGCAAAGTCTTATGAACACGTTTCTATTAACATGAAGGCTTTGGATTCATTGCAGAATAAGCCGGAGTGTAAGTTGATGAGCATACAGATGGAGTGATTGGTCTAACTCTCATATTCAGGCAAGTATAAATCTATGCATAGATTTGCATGATATAACATTATTGTTGTTATTTTTACCTATTCTTCACTGCATAATATAAAATTGTGGTTAAATGTTTTAGATCATTGTTTTAATATCACAAATTGTGACCTAACTCTGACGACGAGCCAATACAGTGGACACTTGAGGTGTGGGGAGGAAGACAGACTGATGGTTTTCATGTTAGATGCAGTTTTGGTTATATCAATACTACCTAGCTCTGTCAGGTTAAAACCTCATCTTGGTCTAAGTATTTTTTTTCTATATTTGATACCTTTCTTGTTCTGATTAAGTATTTTTTTTCTTCTATAATTTATACCTCCTGGGGTCAAAACTGTATGGTGCAGCAAATGCAGTTCATGTTGGTAATGGAGATTGAACTGTATTACAGAACAGCAGACACTTGAAGTAGCATTCAGTCATACTTTATTTTTTTCTATTTTCAATAGACCAAATATCACCAGTGAAGTTATACATGTTTTGTTGATTAATGGCACTTTTTTATGAGGCTTTACAGCACCTTTAAAAACTTGTGTCCAGACTTTAGTAGGTCATGTGAATGTGACTGATTCACTTTTATTAATGTTGGAAAAATAAAGAGTTTAATTGTATTTTAGTTGTGTGATTTGTGATAAAGGTATAGACCAGAGGTTCTCAACTCTGGCGCTCGAGGTCCATGTCCCTACAGAGTTTAGCAACCTGTAACTTTCTAGTAATCTTGCAGACCTTGATGAGCTTGTTCAGGTGTGTTTGATTACGGTTAGAGCTAAACTCTGCAGGAAAGTGAACCTTGAGGGCCAGAGTTGAGAACCCCTGGTATAGACAAAATGAATACAGTTTATGTGGTTATATTAATCAAAAAGAAATTAGCAATGTTTACATAATCATAGGGAGTAATATATATTCATAAAACTAAGTAAATGGGACATCTCGATCAAAACATATAATACAATCTACTTATTTACATCAGTAAATAGTATGATTTACTTAATATTTTTATAAATGCAAGGTTCCTCTCTATAAAATAATAAATAAACTTTACTTAATTACTTTAAATAAACACTTAAATTAAATATAATTACGTAATATTTACTTAATTAGGGTGCAATTAGATTTAATTTCTTCATGAATGTTAAGTTTAGGAAGTAGATTTTACTTAATAATAGTGAGTAAGTTGTACTTGATATTAGAGCAGTAAAATTTACTTAAAATGTGTTCGTGCAATTTGTTACCTACATTTTTTTTAAGTAAATCTTAATAGTTAATTTTTTCAGTGCTTCTAAACCCATTGACCTTGAGGTTTACAGGGTTACCAAATGTAAGCTTTAATTTTTCAGCTGTCCAAAAATATTTCTGAGATGGACAAATATTTCCCTTTAGACTTAATGAAAACAGTTTTGGCATGATAAAAATGTTAGAATTTTTTTTTATAATAAAAAATGACGTTAAATATATAATGCATAATGTATAATGTTAAAGTTATGTTTTTTTTTTTAAAGAAACTCATACTTTTATTCAGCAAGAGTGCATTAAATATTTAAACAACCACTGTTCCTCAAACTTAAAATATATTGTAAAAGGCACTGTGTCGTGGTTTCATTAAGCAGCACAGTCATTATCAATATTGATAACAAAAACAGAAAAAATACAAACATACATAAATTACATTTTATAATAATATTATTTATATATATATATATAATATTAAAAATGTTATTTTAAGTTGTAATAATATTTTACAATATTACTGTTTTTTACTGTATTTGTGATCAAACTAAGAGACTATATATATATAAACATTGTGTATATGATTGTGTGTGTGTGCGTGCGTGCGTGTGTGTGTGTACCTCTGTCAATGTGCTCCATAGACCTCCGTATAAATCTGTAGTGCTCAGGCCTGGCGGTGTGAGGATCGGTCTGGTTATCTGTCCCGTTGGCGTGACAGGTCTGCTTCTAGAGCGCCCGTACACACGTTCTTTGTTCCCATGGGTTCCGGCAGTCAACGAGTGCATCATGAGACTATTGGGGGTCAAAGGTCTGCTGGGTGGCCTTGCTCCACTAGGGGTCTGGGCACGGCTGCTGGGGTTGCTGGGAGATGTCCGGCCCATGACTAGGCTTGTGGGTTTAGTGTTGTGAAGGGGCAGGCCTGTGGTCTTTGCGGAAAGGCTGCTGGGAGACTGTGGTCTGGACGTCTGTCCGAGCACAGGCAGAGTGTTAGTGGTGTGGAAGAGGGGGGTTAAAAGCAAACTCCTATGAAGGCTGTTTGGACTTCGGCTCAGCTTCCCTTGCTCTGCCAGCTTGGCCAAGTCCTTCTCCACCTCTGAAGAAATCAAGACAATAAAAGCAAAGAATCACCAACTAGGGGACAAGAATAGTCATGACTTGTAAACATTTCGGCCATAGATTATGTGGAACATGACTAAATGCATAAATTGAGATTAATACATTGAGTATGCTCATTAAGATCATTAATATCTTTTTAAATATTTAACAAATATATAGCAACATTTAAACTGACTCATTCAAATGAATTATGACTTAAAAGATGCATATGAGAAAGAGTTGACATTTTAGCCAAGCATGTTTGACTTTTGTTTGCTCAGCTATGAATCTATGTGTACAATAATTTACGAAAAAATTTATTCATTAACGTTATTCCCCAAAATTGTTGTACACAAATTTTTCCAGCATGTATTCTGATTCAACACACTAACAGCCTTAAAACACATCAGTGTATTGACGTGGAGTATTGACTCACCACTCATAGATTCCCATTAACAAACCACCACAACACTTTCCTGAACTTTTGCCGAGGTCTTTTAACAGTCATGGCAGCAGTATTTATTGTTAGCTGTAAAGTGTAAATTGGAAGGCATGTTTACTTTGTACGAGTACAAGAGCGATTTAATATGGCCTGCTTTATGTCAATATATTTGTTTGTATGGTAGCAAGTCAAATATTTTTGTTTTTATGAAAGTCTGTTGCACTTTTTCAGATGGAACATCTGGACACATCAAGCAGTGTTCAGTCTGAGAGGAAATGAGGATTCGGAGGAAACAGGATGTGACATATTATAAACAGTATGTACAAGTTTGATATGTGTTTCAGAAACCTTGACTACTTGACTTGTAAGCAAACAGTTCTTTCTCCAAAGAAACCTCATGATACTTTTCAATATGAAACACATGTGCGTTGTCCAGATTATTAATGTAATAGTGCAAATGCTCAATGCTCAATTTTCCCTAACACAGCTCTTATAATTACTCCCCTTTACGGAAACTATTCCAGATTGTTGTGATATATAATAAAGTTAATTGTGTGAATGGATAATTAGATTGTTTTGTCTGTAGTCAACCATAAGTAATTTCAAACCCTCGTTTTCTAATTTAAAAGGCATACAGGAACTTGTTCCAGCGCTTTCTCACCTGTGACGGAAAGGATTTGTTGTGAAATTATTACACAGACATAAATCATTTGTAATGATGGCAAACCATACCAAATAAAGACAATGAAAGCAAAATGAATGAAAAATGTATTTTTTTTTTTGTGCCAGTGTTTAAAATTTCCCACATTTATATTTATAATATTTATAAGAGTATGCAGTTGAGCTCACGGGTCCTAATGAGTCAATGCTGGAGGCTGAGAACATAGGAGCCACAGTTATGTTCACTATAAACACCACACACACTTGAACAATCATTCATCACGAACAGAAGGTTTTAACTTGATGATGAACTACGAATGTTGAAATTCCTGGTCCTACAAAATAGATAAGAGTATTACTTCTAATGAAACATATGGTCAGATGAGAGACATTGCTGTTTATACATGGTATTAAGATGTCTCAAAGGAGTCTGTTTTGAACACTTGTGATTGAATTTTTAAGGAATGCGTCTCTGATTTCACTGCATACAAGTATATATATATATATATATACATTTATTTAGCAAGGATGCGTTAAATTGATTAAAAGTGACAAATATTACTAATGTTATTTGTGTCATCCATTTACTGACAAAATTGTTTAATTATTTATCAGTATTTATTATACTGAGCATTGGCCATGAAGGTACTGTAGTGACAAAGGAAACTATAGCATATACAGTGACCCTAAGACTAAAAAAAAAAGCAAAGAGGAGGGGTGACTTTAACGAGTTAACAAGAAGCAGCACATCTAATCTATTATAAACAGCTCTTGATCAAAAAAAGCAAATGCGCTTCCCACAAGACTACAATCCTCAAGCACGCAAACCCATAATTTAGAACATTTACATTTAGTCATTTTGCAGACGCTTTTATCCAAAGCACGCCAGTGCAAGGAGATAAAGAGAGGTGTACCATGGGCTCTTTTGGGTTTGTTGAAGACCAGTCATGCCGATGCATTCTGAATCATTTGTAGAAATTTGATTGTGCTTGATGGAAGTCCAGCCAGAAGAGCATTGCAGTAGTCCAGCCTAGAAA